CAGTGATTGGATTGCGCTTAGCAGCTGGCCGTCTATCCCGTATGCTCTCAGGCATCAACACAGACGGTTGCTTGGGATCCAGTCATAGACTTTTTCTAAGACAGCAAAACATGTACACCGAACAGGCGTACTCCCATGATTTGTCAACAATTTGCCGCAGGGCAAATATATGCTCAGAGATTCTTCGACCGGGCGAGAAGCTACACTGCTCTTGTTACTTCGCGGCACCTCCTTTGTAGCACCTTGCGTAGACTTTATCTCGGAAGCTCAGTAGAGTACTACCCTTATAATTGGAGCACTCTTTGTCATCTCCCTTCTTGAATAAAGGTACAGTAAACCGTTCTCTAATCCTCTTGTTCCTTTCCCGTAGTCATCGCAGTTTCACAGACACATGTAACCCATCACATGCCTTGTTCACCCATTGCCTTGTACATTTCCGGTGTGATTTCATCAACTCTAGCATCCTTCTCCATCCCCGAAGAATGTCATCACCCTTGGTAAGAGGGTGTCCAGACCTGTCCTTCAAGACTCTTAGACTACTCTTCATTTCACCTCGGAGCCGGCGGATGGTCTGCCAGAATACCTTGTTTGCCGTGTAAAAATTCGACTCCAACACATCACCGAACTTCTCCCAGGAATCAGCTTTGGTTTTCGTCACTCATTTCGCTGCCGCCTTGCGTGCCTCGATATATCGCCGGCGAGTAGAAAGCTTTTTGCTTCGAACTCCTTTCTTGAATGCTGCCTTCCCTTTAACTGCCAGTTTTACGTCCAGACGGCGGGCAATCGTTCGAATCCGTAGCATTCGGCGGCACCCTCTAGTATGCGGCTCTTAAAGAGCTGCCACTCGGTTTCCTCACCAGTCGTTATCACCGAGATATTTTCAAACCGTCTTCGTCGTTGCTTGCAAATTTTGCTGTCGTGACTACCGAAGATAATGTTTCCCTGTGATTATCCGGTTGCTTCTGCCACTAGATCTTCGTATGGTAATCAATTTCTTACAGCGCAGCGTGCCAACAACAGGTTGATGATCGGTTGATAGCTCTGGCTTCTCTTAATGCGAACATCCATTACTGATCGTCCTAAGTCAGACGATATGATTATCAAATTGATCATCGACTTCTGTGCAATAGTTTTCTGGTACTAGGTATGCTAATGCATTCTTCGATGCTCGGAGAAGGTGCGCATAACGGACAATCTGTTGTTTGGAGAAAACCGCAGGCTTCCAATGAATAATTCTGTCTGCGAGGTTGGGTTCTACCAGACGACCAACACCGGCCTGGGCTTTGGTCGAGATATCGACACCTGAGTAGAATAGCTTCCTCCCGCAGAGACTCAGGATTCCATAGCCTTCACGCTTCGTTGGCGAGAGTCCAACAATGCCGAGTTGGTACTGTATGGCCTCATCAACTAACTCTTGTTCTTTGCCTCTGAGAGAGAATATGTTCCAACTCCCGACTTTAAGCTCCCACTGGTGGTGTCTTTCTCGTGAGCCTTTTTTTGGCGTGCTGTAATGACATCGCGCTGTCTGCCTCCTCCATTCAGAACGGGTCGCCGCGACTCCGCCGTTGCTGACTGGTATCTTCATCTTCAAAAGCCGTTGTTGTGCTGCTACGCTCCCTGCCGGCTGAGGTCGATGAGCAGGTTCTGAACACCGACTTTTCGCAGTGTGCCTCAGTCCTCCAACACCCTACGTTGTCCATGGTGTTCCGGGCGACGACCGAGCTGGTATAATTGTCGGTGGATGACGTCAATACCGTGAAGGGCACGTGGCGGGCTTTTGCGGAGATTTCGCCAGTCTACAACTCTCCCCGTTTCTCAACCGTTCTTTGGACCGGCAACGTCCCAGTTAAAATATTTGTAAGTTTTAAATATTTGTAGGTGATCGAAAATGCCCAATTATCGAATCATTACCTGAACGACGGAAATCTGCTTAACGCGGTGTACTTGCTGTGCATTAACGGATATGGACAATTCGTATATGAAGTAGGTGAAATCAGTTTTTGCTGTATGTTTCATTATGACTATTGTCTTATGATTGCTTGATACGTTGTAGTTGATATCACGGTATCATATATAAATGTGCATTTCTTTGAAACGAATATATAAAGCATTGTTTTTAAATGTTTGTCGTTGTTACCTGGTATCAGAAAGTGCATCCACTAATACCATTCTTGCACAGCAGTAGATAATTCTTTTACAGTTAAAGTGGCTTGCAGACTGAAGAAAAGAGCCTATTCGTTTCGTAGACGTGATGGAGCAGACCTTATTTTAGAAAAGCCGTGACCCGATAATAGGTACATTAGATTTATGGGATGAGCAACCCTTATAGGGAGTCCTTTAAGGAATATTTGCTTTAATTTTCTTTGTTGATACTTTTCTTTTTAATGGACGTCTGCTTTTATCGTATAGGTATTGCAGAAGATACGCAGAGGCCCTCGATATAATAGTATGGCGACAAACGTTGCGATGAAACTGATCGCCGCCAAACAGTATGAGATTGCTTTGCACCTTTTCAAAACCCTCCCTCGTATGCCAGGCTACATGGGAGAATACGAAGATGTGGGCAGTCGTATGTTTCTGCAAATGATTCGTATGAAAATGGTAAATCACTTTAGTGCTATTGAATCTTTACGTTTATTTGATTATTCCTCTTGTGATCGCATAGAGCTGCAATGACTTCTTATAAGTTCGTTGTGACTTATAACTTCATTTTTAGCTTATTTCTCCTCTACTTTTTTCTTCCTTCTTGCGTCTTGCTTCTCAAAATTATTGGCCTTTGCTTTAAGTTATAATGCCTGATTTTCAAAACTTAACATAGAATAATCACCTGGAAAGGATGCTCCGGAGTATAAGCTATTCATATAAATCCCATACTACTGATGACTCAGAGCAGTGTTTAAGTGACTGAGTCTTATAATAACTTGTAATGATTGTAAATAAAGCACTTTTTGTTGTTTTTTGAAGTAATCGATTGGGCCGTTTGCATAAGTGAGTAGAATGTGTGTTACTTACAGTTTTTCAACACTTGCTTTAAGATATCGGTTACTGTATTACAGAGGGAAATTTTTTTCTTTGAAAGCAGAACTACCTCTACGTTATTGCTGCATGTTATACGTGGCTTCCTGATCGATATCAGTCATGTTTCGGTTTCACGTAGGAGGTTTCCTGACTAGAATAAATTTTTTATGTTCAACCGCTTTGACTAACATGGCCGCCTCCTGTTCGAATCTCGCCGTCTTCTGAGCTTAACTCTGCCCGATAGAGAAGAAGGTTGTTTCTTACAGTGCCCTGTAGTTTAACACTGATTATGCCTCGGCAGGGCGATTTGTCCACTGTTTAGCATATTTATCCTGGTTGCCACATAAACTGTTTTGTTTTTGCCTTATCTAATGCGTAGATTAATCTGTACGACTAATCATTTTCTGTAAAACGTCGTCACCTATTGCGTAGTGCTGTTTATAGTCATCAAAAGATGTGCTAGAACTGTGCAAGTACCTTCGGAAGGAAAAGCTGGACGCTTTTGCAGATTTTAATGCATTGAAACTTGCTTTTCGCTACGGAGACGCTGGTAAGTTTGTGTGCAGTTTACAAGGGCGTATTGCTTCAACCCTTCACTGTTTTCAGAGACATCTGAATCGATTCTTTGCGGAATGTACGAGGAGAGCATTCAGATGCGACCTCACTACTTTTGGCCGTTACTTTGCATGAGAGATGTGCGCAAGGACGTCACGTCGATGTGCCACGTGCTACAAACCATGGAACAATGTGACGTCCCTGTCACCTATGAAACGTTGCTCGATTGGTTTTGGAGAAATATGCCTCCAGCTACATCGTACGACCAAGTTGCCGAAATTTTGAAAAACAGTTATCTGTCGCCCACAGTCCTCTTCCTGTCGCATATGGAAAACATCTTGAAGGCCGGCAATGTGGAAGCGCTGAGGGCATTAGGTATTCTTTTCATTAACCAGCTTCGTCGTAAAGTATGCGTTTCTGCGTTGTCATTAGGCTTCGTGCATTGTCATTTAGGCTTTGCTCCTTGAGCTTGAGTGCTTGCGTGTATGATATGCTGTATGATGAGCTCTGATTTACTCTAGGGCTACCATACAGAATGGCTTGTACAATTTATAAGCTACACACACCGTCTATTTCTAGAGGCCCTGGGGCGGCAGTAATGCAGATCAAGGCTCCGTAGTACCTGCAGTAGATGGATTATTCTAAATGCTGCATACTATGAGTACCTCGTTCCCAGGGAAATATATTCACAACTGTCTCTATGCCTGCTGTATACACATAGTCCCCGAGTTACGATCATTCGACTGAAGATTTTTCGATCTTACGATACCCATTACGATACAACAGAATTCGAAAAGTGTTTCCGATTTCACAAGATAGAGAACAGCTGAGCGTAAGCGTATGCCGTACGATAGTTTGGATACGCTTGGGAGACTGCTGCCGACAGCATCGCATCACTTAACGCGTCCCCTCTCTCAGTCTCCAGCGATCTGACCATTATTCAGATAGCGATTCAAGAAATATTTATTCTTTGTGTTATTTTGTGCTTTTTTCTATAAGAATGGCCCCCAAACGTGCTAATGTTTCCCCAATTGGTGGTGAGAAGAAAAAGAGAAAAGCTATTACCTTTCCATTTACAATATTATTGATTTACAGTGTAATAAATTGTACAAAAATTTATTGCTGCAAAGCACGTTGCAAATGTATGTACTGTATTGTAATGCAGTTTCAGAGGTTTATTAATCACTTCTACAGTGCATTATAGTGCAAGTACTTTATAATATTTACTCTATTACAAATTACAGGGTGTGGGTTTGTTAAATGTAACAACCTGTGCAGTACATTGTGCTATAACGCTACATTACATTATGACCATGTCATACATTACATCGTCTTCGCCCATACCCTATAGAAAGGACGTTCCCTACTTACGACATTTTCGTCTTACGATGCGATTATCGGAACGTAACCCAATCGTAAGTCGGAGACTACCTGTACCTGAATAGCACAGCATGGTATTTTATTATGGTATATATTGAACATTTGCAATGTGTTAGGATAACTATACGTTAGAATTTACTTTGCCATACGCAGTGGGAACTGCTGATCTGAGGATCTCACATGGTATATGCTGTGCTACTTTGCCGATATGCATGTTACAGTTGCATAGGTTTTAATGCAGTATAAATGAAGTCTTTCTCTGCTGTATTAAATTAAAATAACTATATATTTGTTTAATGTGGTAACAATATTTTTCTTTTATCATCGTATCACTGGAAATGTTAAATGACTGTCACTGTTAAATGATATTGTCCAGACTTTTGAGGTAGCTGATAAATGTCCTAATTATGCACATCAATGTTGCAGTGTAATACAACATTAAAAGCATATTCCTTGTACTGTAACAAGAAATAGTGATTTTTGCAATATTATGAACTCTGTTCGTTGTACGACTAATATACTATTAGCAGTGATCCTATATAGTCTTTGTATTTGTTGTGTTGACCTAATGGTAAGGACAGAGAAGTAACCGTCTGAATGTGACTTTTCTTTACACTTTCATAATGCGACTATTTCTGACGCCCTCATCTGCATAAACAACATAATGGTGAGATGCTGATTTCCATATCCATGTCATTTTAACCGAAGAATTGACAGCACCTACGTGACAGGCAAAGTCTATATTCCACAGTTTCTCACTTATTCATCAGAATGGCACTCATTTATCAACCTTGGATGGAAGAGAATCTGGTGACCCCCACTGGAGCTTGAACCGAGGACCTCGCGGTTCTGAGTTAGACGCTGTACTGATTGAGCAACAGTGGTAACGATACTGATTTGGCAGTAGCAAGTTGAAATTTATTTGCGTACATGGCAGCTGCACATTCATACATTGCACTGCGATTATTGCATGCAGTAGTATTTCAGCAGTAGCAGCAGAAGGCAGCACAAAAAAAACGACAATTTGATTAGTACTATCGTTGTGCGCCGCAGTAGCGAGCATAAGAAAGCAGCAGATTCAAATTGCCCTTGCACAGTATTCGAGTGAAAAATGCGATGTGTGCACTGCATTTATTAAATATTGCTTAATTTATTGCATTTATAATATGTTGCTTAATGCGGGTTTGAGTTTTCTATAGCATTTATACTTTTAGTAAAGCAGCCTTGGCCAATGCTAGGCAACCCGACTAGAATGACGCGTAGCCTATGCCGTTTCTTGATCAGCAGAAGGGAATACGATTTGGTCGTGGAGGTATTGCGTAAGGTCTGCGACAGAACCCTAACCGGTCCTTCGTCAGCTCGCTTCCAAGGTATTTTTTGCTTCTGACACAACCTTCTGATTCATGGTTTTGGTCTGTTCCTTTTGCAGATTTTCGATCAGCGTTCCTTGACTGTCTGAGTTCGGATACCGAGGAACAGGACATTATCGTAAAGGTTTTGCAATGCATGGAAAAGCAGGTGGGTGACTAGCATACCTGACTGCCTTTGTGCACTAGATAAGCTGTTTATGCAAAATTTTTGTATTCGATCAGTATTCAGCAGTCACAGACGCTGTGCCTGTCACAACAACATTATTCATTCTTTTCTTGTTCCTGCCTTCCTTTGCCACAATGGTCTTTGTAAGCCAGAGGTTAAATCGTCCTGTATTTTTAGAGGACGAACAAACGTCCTTGTTGCGATCTCGCGGGTAGCACTCGACGATATTATCCTTTTCTCTGTAATTAGTAAAGCGTAGCTATGCCTTCAGCCGGTCGGTTTTTGCTCCTTCTGCCTTCCATTATAATATCTTTTAACCTGGTCTGCTGTCTCATATCTACATCGAGGACATGGTTGCAGAACGAAATTCCTAGCATCCTTCTTTCCCAGGCCGTTTTGATAGCAGATAGATGAGGAGCATCAGCGGCCATATTTTGCATCCACGCAGCTTCCATAACAATATGACAATGTTGAAAAATTGGGAGACGCGTTGAACTGTCCGTCTTTCCAAATGAAACATCCTTGATGGATTCAGAATTAAAGTTTAATTAATGAAAAATTATTGCATATTTTTAATAATTACTTTATTGACTTTAATAAATTGTCCACATACTGTCAACAGTAGGTTTAGACGCGATACTATATTTATATTTATGACTACAGTATCCAGTGTAATAATCAGTACAGTGTGTAAATGAAATTTAAACAAATTTAAATTAAAAAAAAACGAATGTACGTTACAGCATATTTGCAAGTAATGCGCACATTTTTGAATCATTCGTCTCACCCCTCAGACGTTGAATTTAATCGTGCTGCTGTTTAGAGATTTGGGCTTGATCAAGCAAACGTTACATTTCTGCAAAACGGGGCTTTTGGTGAGCGCTTGAAACTGCCACAGGTCAAGGAAGCCGTCAACGCTCTTCTGGCGATTCACCCTGAGGTAACTGCTCCAATTTTAAATGATAATCTTCGCAGATTCTTAACTTTCTTAAACAGGTTGGTCTATTGCGGTTTGTGTTTTTTGGGTACCGGTAGCCAGGTAGCTATTTCGAACACTGCGCTCACCATTGCGAACCGAGTGTCTTAACTTAGCATATTGAAATACTTCACTGATATCGTTTGTACATATATTGAAATGTTTAATCCATGATATTATCGATTTAACGTGAATAACACTTGATCGTATCCAATACGCCTATTATGTGAAAAATTTGACATTTTAAATTATACATAACATAATATGTAATATACTATCTGATATTTATGTAATACGTTGTAAAACTTGTTTCTGCTATCAAGCAAGCAGTAATCTGAAACCTGTTGATCAGATGTGCAGCGTATTTTGTCTTTATATGTATTGTTCTTCATCCTCCATGGCCGCTTCTCCTTTCGGGTCGCGAAGGCATATGTGTCAGACACAGCTTCCAACGTTCCCGATATTTCGCCAGAGTCTGAGCTTCGGCAGAAGACATCTGGAGTCTGGAACAGACTCCTTCCATATATTTGTGCACCAGGTTAATTTTCTCCGTCCCTGTGACTTTTCAATCTCGAGAAGCAAAGGCTGAACACTAAGGCTCTTCCGGATGTCTGTATTCCGGACTCTGTCGAGGCGCATTAGGACAGCGATTTCTTTAAGAAAGCCCATTTCAGCAGCTTGTACCCTGGTTCGAAGCTTTTCATTCTTGGCCAACGTCTCATGACCGTAGGTCAGCATGAGGATAAAGATCGTCTTGAACAGTGGGAGCTTAATTTTGAGACTGAGCTCTGCTTTATACACAATGGATCAGGCTAATTCACGCAGAACGTCACTTGGCTACTCCAATTCGCCGGTCGATTTCTTCCTCCAATTTTCCATCACTAGTAAACACAGTTCCCGTGTACTTGAACTTCTCCACCCTCTCCACTGCCTATCCATTAATCTGAAGAGAGCAACGGGCAGGAGAACGAGAAAGCACTAGGCGTTTCGTTTTAGATGAGTTCATATGCATGCCGGCCATTTTTCGTTCGGCTGTGAACCTAGGGAGCACTCTTGGTCAGTTTCTGAAGATGCCAATAAGAAACGATCTTCTGCAAGGAGCAACCTTCTCATCTTCACATCTTCTACACCGATACACTCATTGCTTTGGCAGCTCCTGACTATTCTTTCCATGTACAACAAAAACACGATAGGGACAGGACGCAGCGATGGCGGAGACCAGTGAACGTTGAGCGGTTTCGACTTAACGGCATTTACTCTGACGCAGTATCTGCTGTCAGAATACGGTGATTGGATGGCCCTTTGCTGCTGGCCATCTATCCCGTATGCTCGAAGGCATGAGCACAGACTGTTTCGTGGAATCCGGTAATTGTCTGTTTTTTGTGAACAAAATAAATGTACACCGGACAGGTGTACTCCCACGATTTCTCAACAACCTGGCACGGGGCAAACAGATGGCCATAGGTGCTTCGACCAGGCCGTAAGCCACACTGCTCTTCTTGTATATTGGAATCAGTTATTTGGCGGCACCTTTCTAGCATCTTTGAGTAGACTTTACCTGGGAGGCCCTCTAATGTAATGTCCCTGTAACTAGAGCACTCCTTATGGTCTCCCTTCTTGAATAGGGATTCAATAACTCCCGTTCTCCAGTCCGCTGTTGCCTTTCCCGTTGTCATCGCAGTTTGATAGATACGTGTGAGCCAACACTTGCGTTGTTCTCCTATTCCCTTGAGCATTTCAGGGGAATTTCATCAATTGCAACAACCTTTC